TCCATATGCGATAGTATATTATACAGGGTGTCCCAAAATTGCTGGGACACAGCGCTACCACGCGTAATAAAGGTCAATATAAGTTGATTGGACCCAATTTATTTATATAACAAAATTTACCATTTGTCCGTGAGTTCAACGTTTACAAAGAAAAACACATTTTTGTACGCTGTTCGAAAATGAGTGAAACAAATTGGGTGAAATTTGACAAAAGTGCATTTTAGAGGATTACCCTTCCGTCGGTAATCAAAGAAACCCAAAAGAAATTGTGAAAGGGTTGAAACCACCCTCACCCTGAAATATTAGATATTAGCTCACGATTTTTTGTCATCGAATTGAAATCTACTACTTGTTCTCCTTGTATAATAAATAACTATTTTTTATGTAAACTTTGAACTCGTCTCACGGACAAACGGTACATTTTTTTATATAAATAAGTTCAGTCCAATCAACTTATTTTCAACTGTATTAGATGTAGTAGCTCCGTGTCCCAGAAATTTGGGGACACCCTGTATAAAGGACTATAGAGTGACACATTCAATCCCGCGATTAGTTTCTTCCTAGGGCCTCGCCCTATGGAAACAACTACTCAAGGGCTCAAGTCACTTTAGCCCCACGGTGTATACACAATTTTTTGCACAAAGTATGAAATAACGTGGCCCCAGCCAACCATCGTGTGACATCAACATCTGTGTGATGTAACAACCTTGCATAAATGCAATATCTCGTTAACACATCTTATCGACGTAGATTCGATATCAACGTCGCAAGGTGACATCGCAACCAGGAAACTAAGTAATGTGGCAGCGAATTCCAATTCCTTCCAAATTCTCTGTTGAAATATCTGAGATGATTCATAGCACATACAATAGCAGCTTCAAATTGGAGGTATACAAATCATTTAGGAACGACGGTGAGTTCAATCACAATAGGTAATATTGTAATTATCTCTGAGATAGGAATATTGCAATCTAAAGTAAGTGTATTTGATATGTATCATTTATGAATAATGTATATTTGTATTGCTATATATATGTGTCATGTTTTACTTCAAGATTACTAATTAGGGTGATTGTCATGATAAGTTTTGTATCATCTGTTTTTACTTTCGGAAAATAAACATTTTCTTCGTAAAGTTGAATAATAGTTATTATTATAATATATCCCACGAATATCACAGGTACGGCGACCACATCATCGATGTCGCAGTGTGATGTATTTGTAATATGAAATGTACACTTGTATGTGACCTGGTAGTGATTTTTCATGTGATGTCGCATTTCATGTCTGAACGACGTCACAGTGATGTTGCTTGAGTCGGACATTTTCACATCGCCACGTTGTATCGGTAACATGTTTGTGACTTCAAATGAGATATCGCATGTCACAAATTGATGTGGCGTATACATCACTTATACATCTCATGGTTGGCTGGGGCAAAGGTTCAGCCCCGGAAGTTAGAAAATAAATGAAAAATTAAAGCACAAATATCGAAAGGTTCTCAATGAATATTTATTTTTCAGGTCCACCCTAGCCATGGTTGTTGCTATATTCCATTCAATGGTGGTGAACACAGTCATCGAGAATATGAAATTTTGGTACTCAGATCTTAATTTATGTACTGCGTTTAATATTTCAAAGAAAGAAACAGTTTTTAATAAAAATATTTATGTACCTACATTTTCCAATCTTTTTTCAAGTATACCTACCTACTTTTATGTTACTATAACCTCAAGAAATAGGGACCATAAATTGTAGAATAAATACGATCCTTTAGCCCCATGTGTTTTGTAAAGGATTTATTATGACAGTGACTATACAAGATTGAGTCACTGTATTCATTATTGACTATATATGCCACCTTTAGGAAGAACACAGGAACGAATCAGTGAATCGTGAGGATTTATCTCTGGCCGAGGCAGCAAATCAGAATTAATTTCTCTTTTTATGAATAAAAAATATGTTATTCCAAGAATTTGAAAAAAAATCGGGACACTAAATCAATACGTGACCAACCATCCTGCAGCGAAAATTTTTTTTTTACGATTTCTACATTATAATCCAGGAAAGTAGTTGTTTCCTGTTGAATATTCAGAGTGATATTATGTGCATATTATCTTATATGAAGGGGAATGCAATTTCTCCACTTCAGAAGTGTCTGTTTTCAAATTCTTATCGTGTGTGTTCAATAGGTGTAATTCAATGTTCGTCGTCGCATATAGCCAGGAAAGTAGTTGTTTTCTGTTGAATGAACCGAGAAAGAATTAATATTTTCATCACATGATTTTTTTTGGATGTATACTTCACTCGAGTAAAACTCATTTCGTGCGCTCCAAGCGATAAAAAAAACATGGAGAATGCGAATTCTCATTGTATTTCTTTATATATATATACAGCGTGTCTCATTTCAAACGGCCCCCCCTCTATATCTTAGCTATCAGTCGGAAATCTGACCTCATAATATTGTTCTTCATGGTTTCAAACCCACATATGTGGATTTTCATAAGATGCCTATGAAGGGTTTCAGAAAAACAAACACATCTAAACAGCATTTTTGCGAGCGTAATAATTATTCACTCGGAAACGGTGAGTTCAACATAAAAAAGTATAACTCGTTTTTCCTTCCAAATCATGATTTACCACCTACCGGAGCCATTGAACGTTCCAAATAATTGGAAGTTGATTTGAAGTCACTTATAATTACTCGAGACTGAAAATGAAAAAAATTAAGCCAATCCTGTTGATTCGGAATTAGATGATTTTTTGCATATGGAGGTTTGAAAGCATGAGGAACAATAATATGAGGTTAGATTTCCTGTCAAAAAATGACTAATATGATTTTATGAAAAATCTACCTCTTTTTAGTTCAATAAAAACGCACGGCACTGTCCAGAATAATGTGCATCTATGTAAAACTGATCATATTGATGGTTATTCATACCACACCAAATTTGGTTAGAATCGCATGACTAATAACTGAGATATAGAGGGGGGCGGTTTAAAGTGAGACTCGCTATATATATATATATATATATATATAGAGAAGAAAATAGTGGACAAAACCCTCATAAAAAGATAACCGTAGACACGTGTTTCGGGCTTTCGGCCCTCATCAGTACGGTGAAAAAGTGTGAAAGATAGGCAACACTTGGTGGAGTATGAAACAACAAAATAACGGAGTCAACAAACAGAAGCCAGCCGCACAATTGTGGTTTCAGTCAGAAGACCCGGAGTATTCAGGGAAACAATTGTGCGGCTGGCTTCTGTTTGTTGACTCCGTTATTTTGTTGTTTCATACTCCACCAAGTGTTGCCTATCTTTCACACTTTTTCACCGTACTGATGAGGGCCGAAAGCCCGAAACACGTGTCTACGGTTATCTTTTTATGAGGGTTTTGTCCACTATTTTCTTCTCTGTTGTTTACAACATTTCCCCTCAATATCCCTTTCATCATATATATATATATATCCATTTTTTTGTGTTCATAAATATATCTAAGAATATTCCTTCTCAATACTTCTCATCAGTGGTTATGTCAACAAATTCTAATTCTCATATTTCAGTTATAGTTTTAGTTATATTACAGGGAGATGAAAGTTGTCTATATCATGAAGAATGGCTGAAAGAATAACTGGACTTCAGGTTACTGATGAGGATCTGATAATTATCCGAAATGAGTTTTACTCGAGTGAAATATACATCCAAAAAAAATCACTTGTGGAATCTAAAATCCAGTTATTACAAAATCTTATTCGTTTCTCGGCATCACCGGGGTGAAAATCTTGTACGTAAATGGAAAGTTATCGTTTGGTTCCTATCACAAATTTTTTTATGCAGAGTTCTTTGGTCAATTCGCGCTGCCTTTTGTATGCTCATTTTATATTATCACCATAAAAAATTCTAAGAATGCGCTGCTCGTTTCTTCTTTATCGTCTTCTTTAAGTTCAGTCATCTGTCTTGGTCATTATTCTGACGCAAGCCAAATTCTGAAATTTTTCTGTGTGCTGATGAATAATAATAATAATAATAATTCTTTATTTACCAAAAACACTCACAGTATACCTGGGTAATCTCGAATCTGGAACTCTCCTGTTCGGTTACCTCCTTTGATATTCTTAGACAGCTAGTCGTGAATCGCCATCACAGAATCCATACATGTAAGATGAATATCTGCATATTTCTGATTCGAATATTCCTGATTGAAGTACTGGTATGTCGATATTCGTGATTGAAAATAACACGTCGCCCCATCTGACGGCAACAACTGGAACACTTCTGAGCGGTTTGTTTCGATGCTATAACCAATAAGCACAAACAAAAAACAAATGTGAACATGAAAACAATGTAAACATTACACTTTAACAGCTTTCAAGAACTCCGATAGGTGGCGTACGCTTATTTTCTATCGCGAATACATATGTTATCGTTCGATCTGGGACATTATCTGTAGCGATTTTTATTGTCCTAAAGCCGCCGCGGGGGTTCAAATATAATAAAAGTATATAATTTATTTTAAAAAATGATTAGGAGAATAATTGATCCATGTAGTGAAAGTTTGGACGAGGAAATTGAAAATCATATGAGAAATCCAAGTGGAATATTTGAATTTTGAAAAGTTCGGTTCGGGCACAGAATTGTTCGGTCCCAAGGTCTAGGTATATATGGTTTATAGTCCTTGGTTCGGAATACGCTTACGCTAAATAATATATCCATAAACGTTCTTGTCGAGAGAAAAAAAAATGTCTTCCCCATCGTGTGTCATCTCAACCGTTCAACTTTTCAGTGTTCCAACGTAAAAAATAGAAATTTTTATGTTGGTTACATTGAAAAATGGAGAATATCATATTCAGCTCAACATCCAGTGTTGCCAACATAAAATTTTCATTATTTCATGTTGGAATTATGATGTAAATATATAAAATAGTGTACTTGTTGCCCTTGCGTGCCCTTGCTGTTGCTGATGAGCTTTTTTGTTTCAGAGATTCTTCTCGTTGTCGACCTCCCGGGAACAATGGTTTTATGATATTGTTATTTTTTATCGATATTATTTGATATTTTGTTTCTTGAAAAATACATTATTTTTTGCGTCATTACGTGATAAGCCATGATAAGCTGATAAGCTGGAAGTCTAGATGGTGATGAGATCGTACTTATTATACATATTTATTAGAAAACAATCTGAAATATAAATATTTGATTGTTCCACAGTTTTTATAAGGGCACATATATAATATGTCGGGTAAGTGACATAAATTATATATATTCTTGGTACCTATTATCATTGAACAATTTGTACAAATCTCGGTACAAATATGTTGGTTTGCTATATCTATAAAAAATCATCAATATTCAATAGCTTAAATTATTGAAAAAGCTACATAAAGTGTGTGAACTACTGTGAACCAATGTGAACATTGAATCAAACAGGTGGGTTGTCAACCAAGGATAATAGATGAGATAGTGACATCCTACATACCATTGTATTACAAGTTGTTATCATTAATTGTCAAAGCTTTGTTGATCAATCATGGTATTATTGATATTCTGTAGAGTGAAGAATCTTTTGATAGTTTTTATGTTTGTATAGTACCTACCTATAGAGAGAGATAGGTACCAGCTGGAGTTAAGTTTGCACTTTCAATAGAAATAATCAACTATAAGTATAGAGGTACCCTACCCTACCTACATGTATATATATCCTAAACTTCTAGTGGTATTTATCAGACAATGGTATTTATATATGCATTTTCTGCTATCTTTACAATTCCATATTATTTCATTATTTCGAAAAAATTACCTAGCAAATATTACTGATGGGCTGATATAGGTATAGTTATTCAACTGAACTAAGAATTAAGTAAACTATAACAATAATAAGATCATGTGATGTTGAATAGGTTTTAAGTCTCCATTCAACCCTCTCATGCACAACTCCCTACTACAGTCATAGAACTCAATATTGAGTTCATTGACTACAGTGGACAGGAGGAATCAGTAGTTGTAAGCAATGGAAATATTCCATGTTTCAATAAAAACTATTTGTCATTGGCAATATTAGATATATTTTAACATATCTCCAGTGTTACTGCCTTCTGGGTAAGAAATCAGGGGTTTATTCTATGTGTTGAATCATATTTGCACTAAAATGGTTGCTGATGACTTCAATGTTGTTCCTGTCAGAACATTTTATGGAGGCGCTAGAAAAAATGTAATCAATGGTCATCTTGATTATTGTAACCTATAATTAGCAATATAGTGTTGTAAAAAATTATTTTTTTACACAATTTTTATGATTATGTTGAAACTATGCGTATATATATACTGGCAAAATATTATAATGAAATTTTGTACGGATGTGTTTTGAAAGCTGATTCATCGCATGAATTTGTTTTTATATATGAATCTCATAGAGGGCGCTAGTTACACGGTTCGTACCGAGTAGCTTTAAACATAATTTTTTTGTGGTTAAATTTTTTCAATCCGAATTTGATGTGATCTTGAACATTATTGAATTCATTATCAAAAAGGTGACTTTGATACAACTCAATACTGATGTGTACCGTTTCCGCAATATTTTGGTTTGAAAATAATGGATTAATAGCTGACTTATAAAAATAAATTTCATTGAGATCAATTACCTATTTATTCAGATTCAAAAACAATCACAAGTAGAAAATTGAAAAGATTTTCCACAAATACACGATTTTATATTTTTTTCTTAAGCATGCATTATTTTTTTTTTCAAACGGCTGAGGATCAGCTGTTAGGTCATTCGCAGGTCATGTTCAATAATTATGTTCTGCAAGTCTTGAAGTGAATAATTTACCTCCGTAGCATAGCCTTTGTGATTCATTGTTGAATCAGTAAGTTTTGCATGTCCACATTTTCGAAGATATCTTGTTGACTACTATTTTATAGAATTTTTGTTGGAAAATATGTCAAAGGGTTCCAAATTTAGAAGAATGTTATGAGTTGAAATAATCGCACACACTGTGTGTTGAAGTCTATTCATTACAGTGAAGTTGATCCATCAATATGTGAACATGCTATTCAATATTTCACAGGATCAGGGTATGGATTCCGACCACCAGGATTTTATGTACCAGGCCAACAGGGAAATGGAGAATATCCCCAATATCCTCACAATTCTACACCAAATCATTATTATCCACAACTCCCACAAGTTCCTCAGTACCAACCACCAAGTTACAGCCCTCCTCAATATATGCCACCACAACATGCTGCACCTGTAATCAGTCCTACAAGTAGGTAAAAACTAAAATCCAGCATCTTATTGATGCAGGTATGATATATAATAGGGTGTGGGGTAGTAGTGAGGGTCATTTCCAATCAAACTATGGTTAGTAATATGTGGTTATCCAATTGTTGATAACCTTGTAAATGTTTTCGGGGGTTTCCCGACATTGAATGCTGAATATAGGGTTATTCTGGATCTTTTAGAGCCTGACCAGGTTAACTTTGGTACACCACGTGATTCAACGCATAATATACATTTACAATTTATACATATGTCCACATGCAGGCTGTCCCAAAGTAAACCTAGTCGGACTATTTCTTTTCATTATTCAATGAAAATTACAATGCCCAGGTAGATACAAGGGAACAGGTATATCCCTTTATTTAATTTGTAAAATTAATTAGGTAGGTGTCATAAATTATATCAATTTCGGGAGGTGATTTATTCATCTTTTATTGAAAAATTCACAGTATGTAGGAAAAGTCAGACAAAATTTAATTTTTCAGAACTGAAAATGTTCCAGGAAAAATTTGTATCTTGATTGCCCAATAATATAATTTTCCGGGTATGTTGGTGGTTCCATAGCTGTTGGCGCAGTGTATATCACTGATGATGACTTTAATTGGCCATATTGTTTATTTCAATTATATCTCCCGCTTCTGCAAATTGCAGAATCCTAACTCAATAATTATAAAAGATACAGAGGTACTTCCATTAGAAGTGAGACACACTGAATTATGTATCCTAATCCCAATAACTTTGGCTCAGTCAGCTATCTTAGCTCAGTCCTTGGACAACTACCTAGCAAACACAGTTGCATCACAGAGATATCGTAGCGATGTAACAATTGTGATCTGCTATATCGCATTCTATGTCGCATAGACGTCGCTGCGATGTCAGAGGTATGCTATTTTGTCCCACTTAAGTTTCATCCAATTCATTCAAGAGATAGTTTTATGATTCACATTATGATGCCAAATGAAACTCACAGTACGTATTAAGCGACTCATCATTCAACATCAACATTGATTGATTCCATTTATTGTTACATAAATAGACAAGAATGTGAAGTCTCAAATCCAATGAAATGTGACGAATATTGCGAATGTTTTGTAATATAAAAAGAGTTCCCTGGCAATACCAATGATGTTCTCTTATTGTAATTCGCATTATTACCTAGCGAGACATGAATGTCATATCTCAAGGATGTTTGTTTACTAGGCTCGGGTCTCCTATCCATTCAGTCGTCTTCTCACTTCTCAGTGTCGCTACCCTCAGTACCTTAACGCATCTTCATCAGGATGAGATCAGTTACTCGTATTTGTATCAAAAGTTTTGTAGTGTGTGTCAGCGAGATGTAAGCAAACCAAGAATAGTTTCATAGCAATGTAACAAATGTTTGTGAAATTTAGCTTCACTTTGTTGAGTAATAACGCATATTCATGTATTCCTTTTCAACCAATAAGAATCTCAAATACCAAAGTTTTGACAAATTCTCTGAAGTCCACATGTGGACATCGCAGCGATGCAACATTCTTGATATCGCAGTGTTGCCTCAAAACAAGTAACTATTTATGAACGTGGAATTCGAATTATTTCTGTAGGTTACCAATGGATAGATACAACTGCATATGGAGGAGTGCCTCCAACAGCATTTAGAGGTGGCGTCGACATAGATGGTCATCCAATTTATGTTGGCAGGGCTTTTCACGCAGGGGATTGGATCCCTGCCAAGGTTATTCCAGGAAAGCATGTAGCCTACATATGCCATAATGGTCGGGAGCATGCAAAAGATAGATTCCAGGTTTGCTACATACCACACAAAAAGTATCCAAAAGTTTGAGATACTTACATTTTTTCGACGTTTTTTGTTTTGAATGACATGTTATTGCCGTTCAAACTGTATTCGCATAATAACATATTTTTTATGTTTACCAGAGGTGTAGCAATTATAGCTTTTTTTATGTTAGTAATATTACCCTGTGGTAGAATTGAAATTACTTTTAGCCTCATCTTGATATAGCAGAAGCAGATGGGGCACAAAATAGATCTAATTAGGTCGCAGCGCATCTGTCACCATCCAACCTACCAATACCAATACCAATGTATAAAAAAGAGGTATTTTATGGGAATACAGTTAACACACAATGTCATTCAAAACAAAAACCGTCCAAATCAGCCAAGTAGATTTGACGAACTTTTATGGCTACTTTTTGATGGTGCGTTCATTTCTTGAAGAAGTATTTATTACAGTTGACACTGATCATTATTGTAAAACATTTTTTTTCCACCACTAGGTATTAAACATACCATTATTTCCTCCTTGCACGGAATGCTAATTTCCTATACTCGAATGGTCAGTCATGACTCAGCCTGTATATGGTATTTCCTATATTTCAGGTGCTGTGTGAGCAGCATTTCCATTGGCTACCTGACTATGGAGGGCGAGTTCCCTATGGTGCTGTAGAGGGAGGTAGAACATCCAGTGGTGAACCTCTTTATATAGGAAGAGTGCATCACCAAGGATCACACACTGTAGGAAAGGTAAAATGCTGAATGATCGAATTTGGGCGTTTTCAAAATGAATATACATTTTGGTTTCAGATTCACCCAAGTCATGGCGTCTGTTACATACCATTTGATGGTAAAGAAGTATCTTACAGAAACTATGAGGTTCTTCTTCGAAGATGAAAAGGTCATACTTAATAACAGTTCTATAGCCTCATGCCCATCAAAGTGGCATAAAATGATGAACTTAAATTTTATACTTTCTATATTTTTACTCTACCTGTCATATCTTTTAAACTTATGCGTATGATACTGTTTCGTTTCTGATATACAATGTGAAAACATATCGTTTTTTTTTTATCTCGATAACCCATGATGTTCTTGAAACATGGTGAGTTATTTTTCTCAACTCGTCTTATTATTGTTTTGAATCATCAGTGACATCCCAGAAGAAAAAGCTGTAAGGTTTCAGTTCAGTAATGGAAATTTCACTTTTTATCATTCGAATTAATTTCGTGATTATCCTAATTGCCTGTGAGAAAATTTAAAACAATTCAAATTTTCTGAAAAACGAGTAACATTTTAATCATACCAAGACAGACAGTTGCATACCAACTTTTAAAATACTACTCAGATGGGTTTCATTTTTCAATATCTCACAACAAGCTCACGACAGAACCCGAGGATGGGTTTCATTTTTTATTATCTCATAACAAGCTCACGACAGAACCCGAGGACCGTGGGGACTATGATAGTTTCTTCTCAATATTAATATAACATAAAAGTTCCTATACACATAAAAAAGCGGAGAATATGAGTAGAATTCCTGCAATAGTGGGTAAAAGCGTAGGGTCCCAGCTAGATACGAATAGAGTTCATAAAAGAAAATGGAAAATGTTTTGAACGCAGTGACATTTTGGGCAAAACCATCTGGTTTGTTCTCACTACACATATATTGGAATAATATACTCATATTTTCTTTTAATAGAAACGAGGAGAAAAATCTCAAAAAATCTGGAATAATATTAATAATTTATTCACAACTATATACATAATACTTTTCGTTAATCACATAAATAAAATAAGTTGCAAAAGGGGGTTGAAAACAATTGAAATTGATCCTAGTTCTACCCCTGGGATTACAAAAATTAAAAAATGAAAATATTTCCGCAGTGTTAATGTTATCAAATTGGCTGCGTTGAAGATTGAAAATCAGTTAATACTATATATATGCATATAGTTCAAGATTTCATGACTAGATTCTTGTAGGATTATTTAAAAGTATCCGGTTTCAAAGATTTCATTCCATATGGCAGCTCATTAAATAATTTAAATACATTATAAGTGAATGATCGATTGATCGTTTTAAAAAATGTGTTTGATTAGGTGGGGGGGGGGGGAATATAAACTATATTGAATCTTAACCGTTAATTGGTCGTTATCAAATTGTTCATGTGGTGGAGTGGTGACTGTAAGTTCTTTATTCACCCCTCCTGATAGATATTTGATTACTTCAAAAGAATGATGAAGAAGCCTGCAACACAGGTGTAATTTCTGTTAAAAACTTCAAATTTCACGTCGATAATTTTCTGATTTCAGTATAATGTAATATATAAAAATAGTATATATAGATGTTTTTTGCCTCCCTCCGATACCCGTCTGGAGGTGACACTACCTCGAGCTGAAATCTACTTTTTTCCCTTGTATAATAAATAACTATTATACATAATATGAAGAAAAAGTATTATTTGGTCCTTAAAATATTTACATCGAACTTTGGGTCACCCTGTATTACGTTTTATTATGTCTTCAAAATTCAGAGAGCAATGGAGGGAAATTGTATAGCTAGACGCTTGTGATTATCACCCAAGAATCACCAATATTCTGATTAGTCTGAAATTCCAAGTTCACCATTTCAGGTAGTATTAAATTCGTGCTTCAAAATGTTGGCAATCATGTGCAGGAGACAAATGACAGATTCTCTCTGTCAGATGTCTTGTGATTCTGTGACTTTTCTAATTTCTTCTTTCAGGTCTGGCGTTTAGGTTAAAAGGTTTGATGGTTTCTAATAAACAAATCGTTTGTTAAAATTTGAATTCTGAAGAAACCATCACAATATGGTAAGTACTTATAAATTCATTCCTGCAGTATTAATGTTTATAGAAACAAATACATTGATTTCAAAATTCGGGGATAACTTTATTGTTCTTAAATTATAATCCATTTCTAGGACGTCTTTCTGATGATAAGACGAAAGAAACTAACAATTTTTACCGATGCTAAGGACACGACCACTGTTCTGGAACTCAAGAAAATTATAGAAGGTAAGTGAGGCATATAAAATTTCCATGTTAACCCATTGAAAAACTATAATTTCATTGCTAGGCATCTTGAAAATTCCACCTCACAATCAACAACTTTTCAACAAGGATAATGCGGTAATGGATGATACCCACATGCTCCAAGATTATGGCCTCACTTCAACAACTGCTAAAGCTCAGAGCCCTGCTACTGTAGGACTAGCTATAAGGTGAGTGTATTTTGAGAGATTATTTGTTCTCCACTGTGAATGTCTGGATCTTTCAAAATGTACTTCTTCTCTTCTACTTCCTCTACTTTGTCTCCAGACTTGCAAAATAATTTATAGATATGCTTTATTGTCCAAAAGTATATTTTATTGACAAAGTAATTGTCCATTGTTTGATTATTATTATGATTCTTTACTATTACACTCCCTATTACACTACTGATTATTAGAATTAAAATATGTACCTTCAATCATCATATTCATATGTATCTATGCAAAATTGAATCTGTTGAGTACTGCATTCTAGCAAAAGATTAAATGGAGTGTTTTTAGGGATGATAATGGTGCATTTGAACAACTTGATCTTGTTCCTTACTCTGCTCCACCAGACCTACCAGATGTGATGAAATCACAGGAAAGCAATGGCCAGGAACAATCTGCTTGAACTGATGTACATAACCACAAAATTTCTCATTAATCACAAGATCTAATATCTGATTACAAGTCAGTGGACTAGGATGCAACCAGATGACCATTCTTTGTTTTGAGGTTTGGAAATTTGTTAGGTACTTATGCTCATTTCATTTAACAAAGAGGAGTTACACACTTGATGATTTTGTCTGGGGTTTTGTTTTTGATGTATCCAGATTTTGAAATTTCTGAGCAATGGCCACATTGCATCAATGGCTACATATTTATTCACAAGTAGGTTGCCTGGAAACTGTTTTTTTTTTTAGCTCCAACACGAAAACACTAAAAAATGATATTTTGTTGGTCAGGATTAATAATTATTGAATTATGGTGGCCTAAAAGGATAAAGTATCATGGCAGCCTATTATCCATTGAGTACAGGGTGATACAATTTATATTTCAGCTCATTGAATTGTGCCAGCAGATTTTTAAGATCCTCTTGACTTTAATACAACTGGTAATGTGATGTTTAAAATAACCTTTTCTGTGCCTGCATAATTTGGTTTATCTAAAGCCATTTTAAAGATTTTACCTCTGTAATAGGCACATTTCATTTAATTGTGGAGTATTACATGGCATATGGGAATGACTGGGGTAAATTTTGTTAGCTAATTTCTATTTAATTTTTGTGTGAGTGGTGATAACAGTTACTGATGTCCACTAAGCATCATCATTTTTTTTATTACCTTTCAAGTGTAAATTTCTAGGTTGTGGGAAGAAAATTCAAATTTTCTCCATTTGCTGTACATAAAACTAATAATGATAATGATAATAGTAAAATGTATCTGTTAATCAAACCAGATTCTTTCATGGTGCTTCATATTGCAGCATTTTATCATTTTCTATTTCTTGAATAGATTTTTTCAGCCATAAGTATGAGGAAAATCATTGAAGTATAGTAACATTTCAAATTTCAATAATCTTGGAGAGTTTTTAAAAAGACCATGCTTTTGCAATTTTTAACAATATACAGACTGCCCATTTTAGTTTCATATTGATAATAGTACTTTCTATGTTACCTATTTTAATTTTAACAATGAAAGAAACTAGTGTTTTTATAGTGAACATTTTTAGGGGTTTATTCAAAAGGATTGTAATTTGTGCTAGAGGTTAATTTATTTTATAAAATAAATGTTCTGTAAATATAGATTTTTCTTGAAACTTAGACAAAGCTTATAAGGTACAGGCCACAGGGTGATTCATCTTCCACCATAACATGAATATTTTCACACTGATTGGAGCATTTAAAAGTAATGAAACATGTGTTCACTAAATTATATGACCCAGCTTTTTAATATTGATGTGTAAGTGTTGTTAAATACCTATTTTTCCACACTTCACAACGCCACAATGGTGAATAATTCTTGATATCCCTTGGGAGCTAAATCCTCAAACACTGATTTGTTTGTTTGTTCAGATCATGTTATATTCTATGGAATTTCACCAGCTCTAACCAAATGTTGCTATTGAGATTTGATATGGGTAAGACAAACATTTTACTATTTCATCTTTGGTGAAAAATCATCAAAAATCAATTTCAATAAAAAGAATACCAATACTGCTTATGAAACATTCACTTGTTTACTTTGATTAACTGAAAATATACATAGTTGTCAAAAATAACTATTTGGTTTTGAATTTTTTGAAGTTTCTCCATTTCTTCAAGTGGAACACCTTGTATATTTGTTGTCTATGTGGTCATGTAAAGGTTGACATTAGGATTTTCTCATTTTATGGCTATATGAAAATATATTTGGGATTGTGGTATGACTAACTGATTATAATAAAATAATGTGTAAATCACTGAGGATAATTTCATGTGATCTTTTAGTAAATAAAAAACTAATTATTATTGAGTAGGTACTTCATGAAGTCAAAGTAATTATGATGAAATAAAATATTTCAGGTTGAAAAAATTTAAATTGTTTAGTCTCTCCAAACACTTGAAATTTCTCCATTTCTCCAAGTTGAAGACCCTGTATATTTATTGTCCATGTGGTCGTGTACAGTTTGAAATTGACATATTTTCATTTTGATGGCTATTTGAGAATATTTTCGGAGGTAAGTGGAATAATTGAGTGTAAATCACTGAGGATAATCCCATTTGGTCTTTCAGTGTCTCCAACTTTTGGATTGTGGCCTTGATTATACCGAGTGACACAGGAGTCATGTAGCAGCCTGTAGTTTTTTTCATTTGAAGAGATAAAATTTTGAAATTCACAGGGGGTATATAATAAATAGTAGCGCACTTTACGAACTTAACGACAATTTTTTTCAACCACCTGTTTGACCGGAAGTGACCCCAACTTTTTTTTTTAAATGTCACCCTGTACACTTCTTCAGTCTATCTTTTTCACCTTAAAATTCTCTATCGAACCATGTATCACATAGTGACATTTATTTCTTAATTCTATGTTGAATTGCTTTTTATTCAAAAAGAATAAGTTGGCTGTAACATGAATTTGATGATATATCGACACTTGGTAGGCTTTGAAATTTAAAGATCATTAGTAAACCGATATTATTCAAAATGTTTTGATATTCTGATCAATGTCTGCAGGTTGTCAATAGCTTGTTTGAGTCAAGATGAAAACCTTCGAAAATAACTCATGATATTGAGGAATCTAAGATAGGAACATAGGACTTAGACTCTGATCATTCAATATTCATTATAAGTATACCGGGTGTCCCAGATCTTTTCATACAGCCAATATCTCAGTTATGCTGCTATGTTAAACAGTATCAGAGGTTTAGGTCATTTCTAAGGCGCGTATACAAGGAGGGGGGGAGGTAATGGGAGTAATTACCGTCCCCAAGGCCCCCAGACGATCGAAGAAAATTCAGTGTTCCATTCAAAATTTATAATAAGATTCACAAAATAAATCTAATTTCATTCAACTCGTATCTAACTATATAGTACCTATCTATCCATTTCTTCCTAAAAACTGAAAAATTCCAAAACTGCAGCGTGCAAGTTCGTTTTTCATTTTGACAATTCAATGTATGTATGACAGCGAAAAAAGTTTGCTCCAACATTTTCACCGAAAAAACGGAAATTTGAACATTATAGAAAGCATGAAAACTAAAATTGTGAAAAAATATTTGGTGTTCATGAGATTGCTTCGCCAGAAAAGTATTTAATCTAAGGAAATGCCGCGATTTAGAGTCTTCGAGTGGAGTAATTGAAAAAACAATCGACAATAATGTGATTCACATATTTATTAAATCGTTTTAGCGAAATACACTCGAGCATTTTTTTGCTTCATTGCTTCCTGTTACCCCCGCGCCACGAGTTACCCCCCCCCCCCCCGCCTCCCTTGTAACAAAGCAGTATACGCGCATGTCCTTATTTTGTTATGTTTTTTTTTTCACGGTTGAACTTGCACGCGACATTCAGTCAGTTTCTAGGTACTTATACAACTAAGACAATACCTTCAAATTATATCAAAAACATAAATTTTGGTATACAGGGTGATTCAAAAGTAGGCGGCATTCTTCCGGGGTCGTCATCCTTGCATAAAAATAAGGCAAAAAGTTCCTATAACTTTGAAACCCTTCACAATTCAATTTTGAAAATTGGTTTACGGTATTTGATGGCAATAAGATTCTAAATTCAAAATTTCATTCAGGGCCGTCTCATGCGGGGGAGGGTAAGGGTAAAAACTTTCTTTTTTTAATTTTCAGGTTATTGTGATTTCGTTTGAAAATCATTAAATTCTAGATTTTCTAAAAAAGACACTCTTATACAGTGTGTCCCACTTACCATGCTCACCATGGGTATCTTTTTAACGGTGAGAGATACGAGGTCGGTTAAATGACACCAAATAAATTCAAGAGGGCGGCTTCCAAATAATTTTTTGTTTTTGTATAAATGACGATAACTCCGTTGTTATATCATCACAAAAGTATTACTGCGACATTTCATCTGTAAGAGAAAATCAAATTATTTGTAACTAAGTCATAGTCAGCTATGACCTACATTCGAAAAATCTGATATCTCAAATTCTAGAAGAGTTCGTATAAATTTAATATTTTTTTCGAAATCACTTCGAAAAACTGCCATGACAATGTGAAATTCCTATTTGAATATTTTCATAAATAAGGAAGTAACGGAGGAGACATGAAAATGATCAAAATCTGTTTTTTGCGTATAAAACGAAAACGAATTGATTTTATCAAAATATTTTTCCACATTACAGTTGGCCTTGACAAACTCCACATTTGGTGTGATTTAACCGACCTCGTATCTCTCATGCACCGTTAAAAAGATACCCACGGTGAGCATGGTAAGTGGGACACACTGTATAGTTCTATTCAATGAAGCGAACCGTTCACTAGAAAATCAACTTTGGAAACTTTCTTATTTGGGTATGTTTGTTGATGAAAATTATTCTGCATCATCATAAAAACCCTTTTCAACTATCAAGTTATAGAGAAAAAATCGTCTTTACCTGTCCTATTCAAAGGGGCATAGCTCTTAGAAAGGATTTTCGGACCCATATTAATAGGAACTGATTATGGGAAAATAATTCTTACGAAACACAGGCATCTATTATGAAAGAAGAACAATTAATTTAAGTAGGTATCTCAATTCCCAGTTTTGCTGTGGTTTTGTCACTGCGCGTCTCGAAGTAGGTTTATAGAACACACGTTTTGGATTGTTACCATTCCCAAGAAACCAGTTACCAGTGGCCATTTTTCAACAGAAATCACGTCAAATAAAATTTCACCATATCCTTCGGTATTCCATGCGAATATAAAATATGAATAAATAGAGTCATATAAGCACAATATTTCATATGGCATATCTTTTTATTCGAACATTAAGTACACTTCACCTACTTACATAATACAGTTAAAATCACAGATAATGCATTTATGAAGATATTATTAATAAATTAATACAAAAACAACATTGCATTGAATTTGAGAGTGGTCATATAGGTACAAATAAATTCAACTTTCATTATTGATGCCTCAGTGCGACAGTAATTTTCTAATCATTCTTTATATAGTGTGTACATGAAAGTGACGCATACTTAAATTCATTGTTAGCTATAAATAAACAAGACTATTGAAAATTGCTGAAACCCGTCGATTTTTGATTCCAATTCACAATTCTTAGAAATATTAATATAATTCACAGGGTGAACTACCATCGTGTGATGACGTCAACTACCAGTTTGATGAACACGTCATATTTTCAAATCCCTGATTTCCTGATTCCCAAAATTCTGGGTGGCGGAAATTTGATCGAAAGACAAATGATAGAAAAACATTTGATAGGAGTCTTTTGATCGAAAATCAAAAAATAGAAAGAACATTTCACTGAAAATACATTTGATCGAATGTTTTATGATATAGAAAATACATTTGATAGAAACATAAATGATAGAAAATACAATTGATAGAAGAAAAAAAATTGATAGAAAATACACTTGTTAGAAACAGCATTTGATAGAAAATTCAACGGGGCTACGCTCAAGTTAGGTCAGTTCGTTCGTGAAGATATGATCCTTCCTCATATATTTGAGAAGAAGGAAGTTTGTGGTATCAATAAGTTCATAAGCGTCGATTTCCATCTAGCTCCTTCTTCTCAAATAAACTACTCAACACTAATTTCGTCGCACACCAAAATGTCGCCCCTGTTATAATGTGAATAACTTTTT